TAAAGGAGCTATCCCAGGATAGTTATTAGCCTTACAGAACCGTGTTCTTTTAAATCCTGTTCAATCAAACCGCCTCAAACCAGAATATTGTTTCACTAATTTTGCCCCGCAAGGTTATATTACGACTACTGCTTCTGACAGTAAAAGAAAATCTCCTTGAATCGCTCTTTGGACTCTACCAGAACAGAACTATTACAACTTACCATATTCTGGCCAAGGAATAATTGAAAAAGCTATACGATCACGTTTTATCCTTAATAAAGTTGCTATACAACATTACATCAATAACTCTACCCTCAACCATAATCCTAAATCAGTCTCCAAAAAACAGCACCTTTTCACCCCATGTACAGGATGCTCTTTTAATTCATCAACTTCAATATTTAATTTTAACGCATCTGTTACTGCTTGGCCTTATGGTAACGTAGTCGATACTAACCTCCCACAAGTTATTGATATCACCTATTTCTTCTCTATAAATGACAACAAACTGTACCTTCTCAAACGCAATATTTGGTCCGTTATTGATCAAGCAAAATAACATTATATGACTGTACGTTCACCTACCATCACATCAAATAACTTGATATTAAGTTCTCCTTCATTTATTAATATCTCCAATATTCTGCTAATTAATAGTATTAGCTCACCCTTATTGGAATTCTATCATGCTTTTCAAAATGAACGATTTCTTATTTTCTACACAGATGGCTCTCACAAATTTATTTTTTCACCCAATACTTCATATTTAAGTTCTGCATTCTACTTGGTACATGAATCTTTAAAAATAGCATTCTTAGCTGCTGTTCCTGCTGTCTGGGCTAATTCTATAAATGCTGAAATATTTGCTCTCCTTTTGGTCCTTTTAATTAGTCCTTCATCTTTTTCAGTTTCTGTTCATACTGATAGTTTAGCTCTTATTCACACTTATAATTATATAGTCAGATCAAATGCAATACGATATCCTTCATTAATGTTTAAAGTTCTTTTTTACATTTTCTGGTCAATTATTTTTAAAGTTATTGAGGAACGACAAATCACTATTTCTTTTTTTAAAGTTGCCGTACATTCTAATGATCCATATAATGACAAGGCTGATAAACTAGCAAAATTTTCCCTTCTTTCTCCTCCTTTTACTTTATCCCTAGACTACATTCCTTTCATTAACTATATACCTACATTCAATGACATGCCTATACACTGTCCTTTACGTTCATTTTTAAAAGATTATACTAACATCAAACATTTTTCTGATTATTAACATCTCAAACGAAATACAAAGTACCTACACCTACAAGTGAATTGGCTCTTAACTTTTCAACTTATTCAATCTGGATCTGCATCAATTATATCTTTTGCTGAAACTAGAACCCGTATTAGAAAACTCAAATTTCTTTTAGAACAGCTTCTAATAGTTCAATTTATGAAAGCTACTCAACCACAGTTATATTTACCTCTATGGAAATGCTATCAATGTAATAACCATAACGAAGATTTTAACCACATCTGGCTATGTTCTAATATTAAACAATATATGCGATCCCTTATCTTAGAATCCATTGCCCATTTAAAACTACAAATATTCATTTATACGTCTAAATCTGAATTTACCGATAATATTAATAATCTTTTAAACCTTTCGCATACAATATAGTCACTATAAGTAAAGCCACATGATTTCTTGTTTATTGACCTTATAAAAGGCATTGTTCCTAATATATTATCCTCCACTTTAACAACATTTATCAAATCTTCCTCTATCATATCATCTATCTTCTCCTCCTTCTTTGATTTTGTTTTTACTCAAGCCTATAACAACATATGAAAAACTAGATATACCTTAACTTTAGACAAAAAAAGATCCTTACACATTACAAAAAGACAGAAGAAAAGCAACTTTACTATCTCCAACATCAATTTTTTCATTAATAGTTTCTCTAATATTTTATTTGCTAACAATACGGATACTCTAGATCACATCACTCTAATTAATAACTCTTACAAACATGGTTGACATTGGTCCCTCTTCTTGGACAGGTGATAACCAGTTGCTTTAACGATTACCTTTATAGTTTGGTATTGATGATTATTCAGTAAATCTTTATAATCAGAATCAGACAGGACAACCGGTTGGTCTGGTGGGAGCTAGTTCTCTAGTAATAAATATTAGGCAGCAATTTTTATTTTTTCTACTTTAGTACCCGTTTTGGGATTTTCATGTATTTCATACTGAATTTGTTTTTTTTATAATAAAATTTTGCATCACCGCGTCTTTAAAAAAAAAAAAATAATTATAAAAATTTAAAATTTAATTTATTGGATTCATCACATTAAGATCTATTAAATGGTAGTTTTTTTATATTTCTGAGATTAATAAATAGTAAAATATATAAATTTAAAATTTTAATTTTTTTTATAATAATTTATTATTTATTTATCTTTAAAATATTACTAGTTAAATACTTTTTTATTTTAATTTTTACTTAGAAAATATCATAAAATTTATTATAAAAGTATAAATTTTTTAATAATATATTTTAAAATAATTAAAAATAATTGTAATTAATAAATAAAATTGCTTACAAATTTGTATGTAAAACAGTTAAAGAAATAATATTACATAATTAAAATTAGAATTAAATTAAATTTCAGTTTAAATATTTTAAAAAGTTTTTCTTTTTAAGTTATACATTAAGATTAATAATTTTAAAAATAATAATTAAAAATAATAATGTTAGAACTCTAAAAAAGTTAAATTTAAAATTTTTTAATTAAAACTACTAATTTGAAAATATTAAAAATAAGTTTAAAAAAATTATATATATGTATATATATATATTTTTATTAAACTTAATTTATTAAAATCTAATTATTATATCTTCTTTATTAATAAATAAATATTTTAATATTATTAAATATACAATTCTAACCTTATTTTATAAAGTTATTATTTATTTATTTATATATTTAACAATTAACTCTGATAAACTTTATATAATACAACCAATTATGTATTTATTAAATAAATATTATCTTCTTTCTTAATATATGAGTATTTTACTATTATATCTCATAATTCAATTTTAATAAATAACGATATTATTATAATTAATTTATTATATAATTTTAATTAATTAATTAAATATAATTAGTTATAAATATTAAATTACCCATTTTCTGTTATTTATGCTGATCTAATAATTAATTATTAATCAAATTTCTAGTTTTTTTTAAAATGGCATTTATTTTTGTATTATTTTCTATCAATTTTTTTAAAGCTCTATTAGCTTTTCGTAACATATTTCAGATTCATTTTTAAGATTTTTCATATAACAAATTTCAAATAAGCAATTAATATACTTGTATACTATGATTCATTATTATATACTAAAGGTTTATTTATTATAGGATTAATGTTATCAAATGAATAAAATTGTAAGATTAGTTTAAATATTCTATTAAAAGATTAAAATTTTAAAAATGTCATTAATATGTCAAATGATGAAATTTTTGGATCAAATTTTTTATCATTAATTCCTAAACTAGAAACTGTATCTAGATTATAAAATGAAACGGAAGAAATTATATTGAGATTAAATAATGATAATGTAGGAGATGGTTTATTAAATCTACCAAAGGAAAATCTGAATTGAGGTAATTTATTATTTTAAGATTAAGTGAACTTTGTGAAACTAATATTACTAGAGGTTGGAATCAGTTAATTTTTAACTGGTTAAAATAAATGAATTTAAATCTAGCTGAAATTCATTTCTGACTAGAATTAAGATTTTTATGATTGCAAATTATTGTCTAACTCCAAATTTATAGTACTAGCCAAAGTTAATTTTTAACTAATTAAATAACTAGTTAACAAATATTTTAACCAGTTATTAACTGGTTAAAGAATTTTTAGCTGATTCTAATCTCTAGATATTGTACAATTTTCTAAACTTCTATCACGACTTCCTAAAAATAGTCAAGATTGCGTTAAATTAAAAGTAATAAATGTGGTTTGTGATTAAGGTAAATTAAATATACTGAACATTAGTTGAGGTTATGTGAAATAAAACTCATAGTTTGTATGTGTTTGTACTAAACTAAGTTTTTCAAAGTTATCCTATTCCTATATCAAATTAAATGTCAGTTATTTCTATGTTAGATCAAATACTAATTGTATCTATGTAAAACTAAATTCTAGTTGACTTTGTATTTGTGATATTAGTATCTGCTTGAATATATAATTTAGTTGCATTTGTACTTATGCTATACTAAATGCTAATTATGTTATGTAAACTAAATTCTCTAAAATTTAATTGTGTCTGTACTTATATTGAATTGAATGCTGGTAGTATTTGTGCTAAACTAAATCCTCTATAATTTGGTTATGTTTGTGCAATACTAAAACTACCAAATGCTAATTGTGTATTTGCCTGTATCTATACGAGACTAAAATCACTAAATATTTATTGTGTTTATATCTGTATCTGTGCCTGTGCAAAACCAAAACTACCAAACGTTAGATGTATCTGCAGTAAATTAAATCCTCTATAATTTGGTTGTGTTTATGCAATACTAAAACTAAAAGCTAGTTATATTTGTGTCTGTATAATATTAAAACTAAAAGCTAATTGCATTTGTGTCTATATAAAATTAAAATTAAATGCTAGTTTTGCTTGTGTCTGTGTGAAACTAAGATCACCAAATGCTGAATACATTTGTGCTGAATTAAATTTACCATAATTTAGTTGCATTTGTGCAAAACTAAAATTTAGCTATGTCTAAAAACTACCATAAAAATCAGATTGAGTCATTGCATGATCAAAGAGAGATACTTGTGTTGTAGTCAATCTAAAACCAAATTTTGATAGCTATGATCTGAACCCTCTGAATGCAGATATTTGTGAAAGTGCACCAAATAAAGATGATCATATTACTATTTCAAAGCTATATAATAGTTGCTGATTTGTTGCTATCTCCACCTTTTCAAAGTTAAACATAGTTTATACTGACATATTATTAATGTTTGTACCAAAAACTGAAAGATTATTTAATGGAAATTCCCCTAAAGGATTTTTTGAATCACATAATTTTTTGATCTTTTCATTTGCTTTATCCATATCTTCATATTCATCAATTGCTAGAAAGCTTTAACAAGAAATTTATTAGTAAAAAAAATCCAATAAAGGAAGAAAAAATACTTCACAGTTTTAATTATATAAACTTTGTAAATTTTAAAGCAAGATCAAATGCTTTATTAAACATAATAATTTATTTTCCTATAATAAAAATCAGAACCATTTATCACAAAATTTTGGATGATGATTCAAGTAAGAAGTATCATCTTCTAAATTTTGAATAAGTTTTCAGGTCGCTAAAGTATAAAATTTTGATCCTTTTAATATAATTGGATCAATAGGAATATCAAGTTTCATGGGTCTATCTTATGATATTGCAGATAATATAATATTCTTTTTAGTCATAATACCTTTAATCAACATACAATAAACAATAAGTCTAACTTCAGAATAAATTTGAGATATTTCATAAGAAACTTGACGAATAGCAAGATTATCAACGAAATCATTACTTGAAGATTGTTTTGATAAAAACATTTCTTCTTCACTGAAAAAACTGATAATTGGTTTATCTTTATTTTGATGATCAGAATCTTTAAAATTATCTTCTATAAGATTATTATCATCAGTTCAAGTAATTTGATAATCTTTAATTGAAGATTTGATACAATTTTTTGACATTTCTAATAGTTATTTATCTATCCTTTTCATATCAATAACAAATTGAACATAACCTTTACCATTACGAGCTACAGTCTCTATCAAATTTGAAGAAATATTATTACTAACTCTCAAAGCAAATAAATGTAATTTATCTTCATATTTTTTAACATTATTCCTAATCAACCCTGATATTTATTCTACATTCCAAACATTTTCATCCATAATAAGAAAAACTGCAGTTAGTAAATTTGTTCTTTTATTATCAAAAATCCATTTTAATACTTGATAAATTTCTGTTCTACCATAATTTGTTATCATATTACGAGCAAGCAAAAGTGCTGTTAATAATGAAGCTGAAGAATTTGGTTCACTCTGTTTAAAAAGAGGATCAAATTGATCACTAAATAGAACGATATTGAAATAACAATCTTCTAGAAGAGATCGTATAAATAATTCAAGCGCTGATGATGCTTTTTGTATTAGCAAACCATCTATTGATCCTGATTTAATATATTTATATATTAAATTATCAATAAATAAAAGAAGGAGGGATAACTAATAATATATCTTACCCATCTATAATGAAAATCAGCTTTGATAATATTGGATCATTGCAAATTTAGGAACTAAAGTTAACATGAGACAGTTTGTGTCTTTATCTGGATCATATTCAATGAAAGCTCTTGGCTGATCAAGACCTAAATTTTTTATAACTAATATGAAATCTTTATCTAACTTATTTGTCCCCCTAATGTAATCCTTGAAACTTTTGGATTTTCATTAATATTTATTTCACAAGAAATAAGATGTGAAGGTGATTCAATATTCGTTATGACTGAAGTCATTTTACACTCTATTAATAATGACAATTCGTATTTTGTAAACTCAGGAACATAACTATATTCTTGATATGGTATGTTACGTTTGATATCATATTTTTGGTGCTATTACAGTAAGTAAAACGAAACGAATTTTTTAATTTCCAAATCATGTTTAAGTTCTGTTACATATGTAATTCTTATTACAACTGTTTGTCTAGGTAAAATATTTTCAACAGAACATTCGAATATATCAGCATGGTGTTCTTCCAATAAAAAAGCACCATGACCTTTCTAAGAGATTAAAATTTTGTAGGTTCTTTAGCTTTTTTTTTTAAAAAAAAAAAAATATATAAAAAAAAAGTTCGTTCACCTCAATTGCGTTGTTATACTCTGTGGCAGCCTCTTGTGCTTCTTTAACAATACATGAACTTTCTTTTGCCATAAATTTCTGCTTCAAAAGCACAAACAGCCGCATTTTCATTAATTGGAAATTTATAAATGGAATTTATACTAGAGGTTTCAGAATTTTTATACGTTTGAGCGAACTTTACTGCGGATTAATTTATGATGTGTTAGCGTTAGAGATGCGTTGACCAATCAAATTGAATTAATATTGCTTTATATAATAAAATAATGTGTGATTGATCATCTAACATCCGCAGGTTTTTTTTTTTGTGACGCGCGTCGCATTTACTATAAATTTTCACTAAATTTAGGTATAGTACTTGGCAACTTTAACCTCTGCAGGTTGAAAAAGAGAAACAACCGGCTCGGATCTCAAAAGAACCAATTTTGAATTATATTGCCTGAAAAGAGATAATTAACTAGAAATTAGTCTACCCTAATTAATACTGAACGTCATAAAAACAATTAATTTAAAAGTAGATATCGATTATCTGTAAAATTGATAATCAAAAATAAAAAAATATAAAATATACTTTTTTTGTTTAAACCATTATGCAGGTAGAATGGTTAAAGTTTTGGTACTCGGAGCTACGGGGTTCATAGGCTTTGCCGTAGCCCAAGCACTTGCTCGTTCAGGACATGAAACGTATGGGTTGTATCGTAAACGTGAAAAGGAAAAGGAATTAGCCAAAAACGAAAGTAAGGTTTACATACCTATTTATTTATTTATTTTTTTTTTTTTCCTAGCAATTATAAAAAATCTCTCTTTATATGCAAAGTCTTTCCAGTATTAGGAGATACAAATGATGTATCAACTTGGAACGTTGTAGCGGAACAAGTAGATATAATAATAGATGCGACATCAGAATATAATGATCCAACAAAGCATGTAACAAATATCTTAGATACAATAGAAGAAATTAATATGAAAAGAATAAAAAATTTTGAACCAAAATTAACATTTATTTATACATCAGGATTATGGGTAATATACAATTATTTTAATTTTTATATATATACGTATGATATTTTTATATTTATTTTTTTTTTAAAAAAAATAAATAAAAATAAAAATAAAAATAAGTTTAATATCAAAATAGATATATGGAGGAGATTCGTATAATGTGAATTGTGAATCAACTCCCTTAAAAACAAACCTAAAATTAGATCAATGGAGACCAGCAATAGAACAAATGATTATTAAATCTCAGGGTATAATAATTAGACCCGGAGCTGCTTATGGTAAAAACGGTAGTTTAACGGCACAATGGTTTGAATCCGCTATAAAAGGCGAATTATACGGTATTGGTTCAAAAGATGTTAGGTGGAATTTAGTACACGTTGATGATTTGGCCGATGCTTACGTAAGATCGGTTGAAAGATCCGAATTAGTTAAGGGCCAGATATTCATCATCACGAATAATCAATCTGAATCAATGGGTGATATGTTGGATGCTGTTGCAAGAATAACAGAATATAAAGGTAAATTCTTAAAAAAAAAGAGAATTGATGATTTTATCTTACCAATCCCATTTATAATTCTATTTTTAGGACTTGTTAAATATAAAGTTCCTACAACAGAATTCGAAATAGCCATGGCGCATACAGGAATTTTTTCCAATAAAAAAGCTCAAACAATACTTGATTGGAAACAACGTCAATTAAGTTTTGTCGATGGAATTTATACTTGGTGGAATAGTTATAAAGCATATATTTAATAAAACGATAAATAATTTATTTCTTAAGAAGGAAATTATTTCTATTTAAAGAATATTTGATCGATCTCTATAGATTCTATATGATATCTATTTATCAAGTACAGAAATATCTCCGAGACTTGCCATGTAATAATCTGGAATTATACGAGCATCCATAGCTAGGATATCTTGTTCTTTATTAACTCCTAAAAAAAAAAAAAAATTCAATTATAAATAAAACATCAAATTTTTTATTAAAATAATAATAATAATAATATTTACCAGTTAAAACGAACAAAGTGCCAAGACCACCGTTAATACCAAATAAAATGTCAGTATCAAGACGGTCACCGATCATGCAAGTACGTTCAGGATTTAAATTTAAATGTTGTATAATACAATCTAACATAGGTTTATTAGGTTTACCAAATATCCCATCAGGTTTTCTACCTAACGCTGTAATCAAAGGTGCTGCAATAGCTCCTCCACCTGGATAAATGGTTCCATTTGCTGGAAATGTGGGATCATCATTAGTTAAGAAGAAAAGACATTCGGGATTTGAATTAAGGTAAGTGAATGCTTTAGCATATTTTAAATAATTAACATGTATATCAAATCCACAAAGGACAGCTCCAACCTATGTGCGTAAGCAGAAGAAGGACGAAATTTTAATTAATTACATGTATGTTGAAGTTGGAAAAAAAAAAAAAAATATGAAAAAAATGAATGAACGCTTACTTCTGGATCTTGTTTGATGTTGGCAAAATCCCAATTGGAAGTATCAAAATTGGAATCTTCCTTTAAACAGAAAAAGATTCAAACTTGAGAAAAAGAACTTTTGATGTAAATGGTGACCCTCCTTTTTTTTAATGACTTACGTTAGCTCCAGCATAACGAATTCCTTCAGATTCCAATTCTTCAATAATTCCAACGTCTCCTACAACATAAACTTTTTTTTCTTTTGGAAACTTTAAAACATTTTTAATATAATAAGCTGAAGCATAAGCTGAACCAAAAATTTCTCCATCATGAATTTCAATATTTAACTTTTTAAATTTTTTCAAGTATCCTTTTCGAGATTTTGCACTATTATTTGAAACAAATAATAGTTTTTTTCCTAATAAATACAAAAAAAGAAAGGATTCACATCATTTAATTTATATGACAAATGTATAATTTATAATATAATTACAATAAAATTTACCCTTTTTCCGCAGTACGGATAATGCTTCTCTAAGGTTCGGAAGTACGTTATTTCCGTGCCATATGACCCCTATAATAATATCACCTGTATCAATATGATTGATTTCTTCACTGAAAAAAAAAATTTTTCGAAATTTTACCATCACAATCGATCAAGAAAGTATCATATTTATCAAGAAAACTTTCATATGCCGATGCATCAGTTAATTTTACCGGTTCAGACATGTTTCAAGATGAAAAGTTTGGAAAAAATTATTTTGATCTCCTTTTATATTGTTTTCATTTAAATACTTTTATCCATTTAAGGTGACTTTACGTATCCGATCATTAAACTTTAAAAAAAATTACAAGTTCGAGGTGATCAACTGCATAATCTAACAACCAAACCACTTTGTGAATTCCTAATTTTACTTAGCTCCTATTCTTATATAGCTCGGAAATCGTAGATATGATGTCATATAAAAACTTTAGATAATCGATAAAAATCAAAAAAATTTTATTCGTGAATTTTTTGACTATACAAGGTTTTTTTTGTTTTTACTTATTTATTTTTATTCAAAGAATAATAATATTTATTTAATTCTCTTAAAAAAAAAAAAAAAGTTTAAATACGATAAGATGTTGAATCAACCATTAAAATATCAAACTCAAAAAATATTGTTTACACCGGCGCTGAAAAGGGCAAGAAAACCTTTCGTCGTGAGAAATGCTATAACTGGAATGTTATTACTTGGATTTTGTGGTGCTGTATGTATCCTTCATTATGATTATCGTAAATAAAAAGTTTTAAATAAAGATTACTTTCCTTAACGAAATAATTATTAATAAAAAGATTCTTATTCAATTATGGCTGTAAAACAAGATGATTTAAGTGATGTACCTATGCCATCTTTACCTCCTTCTGAGAATTTATCCGATGATAAAAAGTGAAATAATAAAATATAACAGAATTATAAAATGATTGTAATGTAATTTATAATTGTTAGAATCTTTTAATTATAGCTAAATCTTTGTCAAGAAAATATATATTAGTAATTTTTTTTTAAGAAAAGACTAAACATTTTTTACAAATTGATTTTATAATATTTATAATAAATATATAAAATAAATAATATATTTATAAATAAATGGTTTTTTATAATCATATAATTGTTTTTAAAATCTTTACTATAAAATATTTATCTTAGAATTTGATATAATGAATTTTTGTATAACAATTACTTAACATTAATTGTATTGCCAAAATTTTGATTTTACAAATCTTCAACATTTATAAATTCAATAGCTTTAACAAGTATTTATGTTTTCTTAATGTGTTTCTACTACTTTTTATTAAAAAAAATTATTTTATAAATTAATTTTATTTGTCTAAAAATTACATTATCAAGTTACTTTTATATTTCATTTAGTTTATTATTTATTAGTCTTTTGTATTCATTTTATAGTTTATTAACTCTTTTTTTATATTCATTTCATTATTAATTATTTATCTTCTTAAATATATTAAATTATATCTCTCATAATTTTTAATTTTCTTTCTTTTAAAGTTTATCTTTATATTATATTTTCTTTATTAATTTTTTTAAGTGTTTTTTTAATTCTTTTTTTATATTCCTTTAAATTTTCAGTTATAATATTATCTCTTAAATTGTAGAGCAGATAAATTTGCCTACAAACATAAAAAAAAGTATTAATTTTTTAATAAAATATGAATATTAATAGTAAAAATATAATTATTATATAAAAATATAGTTTAGTTTATATTTTATTAATTTTATTAGAAGAAATTTTAAGTTTATTAAGAAGTTTTTTAAATAATTCAATTTTTAAAATTAAGTTTAAAAATTTATTATAATAATTTTATATGTTTACAAGCTAATTGAATCAGTTTACTATTAATAAAAATTATAAAATTTCTTAGTAAATTATAAAAATTATAATAATTAAGTTATTCTTCATAATAAATTTTTAATATTCTATTATGATTAATATAGCTATAAATAAATGTTAATAAGAATATCAAAAGTTAAAGATAAAATCTTTTAATTTAAAAATTTTTTAAAAATTACAAATTTTTAGCTTATAAGTAATCTTAAATTATTATTATATATAATTAAAAATAAAAGTTATATAATATTTATAAAATTAATTTAAAAAAAAATTTTTTAAATTTATAAAAGTAAATCAAAAGGAAATTTTAGTAAATAAATAGACAAATTTGCTTATGTAACTCTACTGTTTAAAAAATAATTTATTTTTTTAATAATTTATTATTTCTTTATCATTATTACTATTTTATTTTTATATATTATTCTTATATTATTTTTTCATTTAAATTTATTTTAGTAATTCTTTATTTCTATTTTTTTAGTATATTTCTTTATTTATATTTTTTAGACTTTCTGTTTAATTATTTTTAAATTATTTTTTAATATTTATTTTTATCTTTTTTTTTTTATAATTTTATTTATTTTATATTATATAATTTATTTTTTTAAATTTATTATTATAATTTTTATAATTTAATAATAATTATAAGATTAACAAATTTTTATATTATCTATTGATTTTAATATTTTAAAGAAATTGTTAATACTAATATTATTAAGGTTATTTTATTAATAAAGAAATAATTACATTTTAAAGTTTAAAAATTTTATTTATTATAAATTATAAATATAATTAATTTATAAGATAAAATACTAATCCTATTTATAATAATTTAATATTAATCAATTTTATAAATAATTCTAATCCTTAAATAATTTTAATTTTTTTTCTTTCTATAACTTATTATATTATATTTATTACATAATTTATATAATAAACATTATTCTATTTTTATATTTTCTATAAATATTATAATCCTTTTTTATTATTTTCACAAATTTTCTTTTTTAATAATATATATATATTATACAAATATTTTAAGATTTTATTTTTCAATTTTTTTATTTAAACTTTTATATAATCTTTTTACATATTTGTAAATTATCTTCATTTCCTTTAAAATTTCTATTATTAAATTTTATTTCTTTTTTTTTGATTAATTATTATTTTTTTTTTATTCAGTATTTATTTATCTATTTCTTTCTTGTGATTTTAGTAATTAATTTTTCTGTATTATATATTTCATCCATATTCTGTATCATATAATTTTAGTTAATTAATTATTTATTATAATTCTTCATTTAATTAATTGTTTTTTAATTATTTAATATTATAATTTCTTTATAATATTTTACTTTTTATTGATAAATTATGTAATATAATGTTTTAAAAATTTTTACTCTATTCTTCAAATATTTTACCTACAA